TTTAGTATTTGCCAAATTGATTTGCGAGAAATATTCGCGAGAAATATGGAAATAATTTATGCGAGGAAATACACTGTTATCGAACGAAATTATAAACCTGTAGATAGAGAACTACAAGAAAGATAAATAAACTTAACAGTTTTTCGAACCACGTTAAAATCCCTCGTTTCACTGTTATTTTATATCCGCGATTCGACTTTTCTAGGTAATCGTTATCAAAGAGAGTTATAAAATAGAAAATACTTTGATCGAATGTATGATATGAAAATAAAAAAGATAACAAGAACGATTGACAATTTCCTTTGTTATAGAAAATGAAATTCCCTCGGCGTAATATCTAAATCTAACGACGAGCTCCAATCTCTGATCTTACTGAAATTAGTATGAAAATATTGAAACGTGATTGATTAAAATAAATTCATCTATAACTGGTGATCGACAATTATGTGTTAATTCGATCGAATTATTAGAGAAACTTATGAGATTTGGCTGTAAGCTTTTTCACAGAGAACTGGCCGCGCTCGATGATCACTATGACAAATGGAGAAACAGGTCGAATAAATACGGGAGAGATCGTCGCGATTACTTATTCTGGAAAACCGATTGATCCTGGTCCAAATGAGATCTAGTCGTGTAAGTAATATGTGTTAATCGAACAGCAGAAATAGAGAGGCACATGATATTATAGTATCGACGATGAAATGACCATTCGTAGCTGGAACAGCATTACCTGTGTGATCAACCATTTTCACCTATTATGAACGGAGAATACATAAATTGAATAATTTTATAGGAATAATCCAGTAAAATAAAGATACGTATTAACCATTTTATTTCGTCCTTTTGTCCATACGTAGTTAGTTAAATTTGAACTACCAATCAAAAAAGTCGTATGACTATTACTTGTCTGTATTTTTTGATAATATCTCACCGATAGATGAGCGGCGAACGTTCTAAAGAAAAATAAAAGAAGAATCCTGATGATTCTAGTAGATATTTATTATATTATCTTATTGAAATTTACGTTTAAAAATATCAAATGCTACGTCATTTATGGATAATATTAGCGAAGAAAATACGATATAATTAATTTTTAATAGAAATAAAACATACGAAAAAATAGCCAAGCCTCGGATAAATAAATTACCATATACATTCAAGAAATATTACTAATCCAAGTAATAACTCTTCTCCGATTAACAGGTTAAATAACATTCTACACACAGAACCATACTCCTATACGTACATATTTATGCGCTTACAGACAACTAGATCACACGCAGAAAGCTATATTAACTGTACACGATGTGTATCCATCCATACGTAGATAATCCATTATTTGCACAACGAAAACGCGGCCATGGCTTTCGCGTTGAATTCAACCACACTCCTCGCTCTCTCCCTCTCTCTCTCTCTCTCTGTTTCTCCCTCTCTTTCTCTTCCTCTCACTTTACCAACCGTCTAATGCACACAGGAACACGACAGCTGTGTGTTGCTCTGCAGCTAAAGGCATTAATTGGGATTAAGTAAATCAAGACGCTAATTAGCTCGCGCCAAGAGTGCGCGCACGCGCGCGTCATCGGCCTTTCGGCCCAACGACGAAGTTACCACCACCACGAGGTTCCGCTCTCTCAAACCAAAATGTTACCACCCCTTGGCGTCAGCTCTAACCAGTGTAACTAGCTACACCGACGCGAGATCACCGTTTCCACGGTCATTTAATTTTCCTACCCATTTGCTGTGGCAACTGGCTGCTACGATTACAAATTTACCTGTGCAGACGATGGAACGCATTTATTCGAGGGTAGTTCGTTTATGCGACGTCACTAACAACACTTTTCCCTGTCCACTGTGTACGACCAATGAATGTTCAAAAGGTAGATAGGCCTTTTGTTCACGGTAACAGATGATTATCTTTTATTGGGATGATGATGATGATTCATTTGATTCGATCCTACCAGCTTTACAGTTGAGTATTAAACGAAAAGTCGGGAAAATGTTAAACGTAGTAGGCAAGCTTCGTTTGATTCGTTTCAGCGTTCAATGATCATTTGCCGAATTAAAAGTATAATTAATTATAGCTGGAATTATTAAATTTATATTATCATGTTACTTCACTGTTAAATACGGTATCCAGGTCTTGTTATGGATCTTCGTTAAGAACAATCGAATCGCGAAGCGGACGAATGTTTAATATTTCAATGGAAATAAAAGCGTTGGTATTGCTACGTGTTATACGTTCTCATCGTAGGACGCAAGAGGAAATCTAATAATTAGATCGGCAATCGTACTTGCAAAGATTTAATTATTCTTATACTACTACTTCTTTTACTACTCTATTACTCTATCTATTATACTCTGTTCTTATATCACTTGATTTTATACTGTATGTTTAACGCGATGTATTCAATACATACCATCCAATTCTATATATAAATATCTATCGTTAAACCCTTTCCACGTCGACAACATCCCTAAACCACAGCTTGAAACAACAAGACCCTATAGAAGGAACCCCTATTCGAAGAGCTCGCTAAAAACTTCACAAATCCCATCGCGAAACCTTCAATTCGATCGCTTCGCCAATTACATACAACGCCATTAAAATTAAAGACAGAGGGTCAACTGAATCAAGAACCAACGCACCATACGGGTCGATGAAACGCAAAGGAAGAATAAGTGGATTTCTGAGCAGGTGAGTATTTATTTCATTACAAGCGAAATAGCCTATCTGCAAGGGACAGACAGTGAAAGAGAGAAATAGAAAGAAAATAAGTTAGTACGAACGTGTTCGGCATAGAGAAAGGGGATGGAGAGGGAGAGAGAGAGAGAGAGAGAGAGAGAGAGAGAGAGAGAGAGAGAGAGAGAGAGAGAGAGAGAGAGAGAGAGAGAGAGAGAGAGAGAGAGAGAGAGAGAGAGAGAGAGAGAGAGAGAGAGAGAGAGAGAGAGAGAGAGAGAGAGAGAGAGAGAGAGAGAGAGAGAGAGAGAGAGAGAGAGAGAGAGAGAGAGAGAGAGAGAGAGAGAGAGAGAGAGAGAGAGAGAGAGAGAGAGAGAGAGAGAGAGAGAGAGAGAGAGAGAGAGAGAGAGAGAGAGAGAGAGAGAGAGAGAGAGAGAGAGAGAGAGAGAGAGAGAGAGAGAGAGAGAGAGAGAGAGAGAGAGAGAGAGAGAGAGAGAGAGAGAGAGAGAGAGAGAGAGAGAGAGAGAGAGAGAGAGAGAGAGAGAGAGAGAGAGAGAGAGAGAGAGAGAGAGAGAGAGAGAGAGAGAGAGAGAGAGAGAAGAGAAGCTGCAGAAAGCCCGTACGGATCCTGGTAATATCGCGAAAAGTGTTTGCTCAGCTTGTCTCGACCGAGCTTGGAGCATTAAACCGCGAGAGCGTTCTTTCTCGTCTCCCTGGGATCCGGGGAGAGCGATACCGACCTCCAATGTGTACACTTCTGCTCCCGATTATACGTTGCGCGAGCCCGAACAGCTATTTCCTTCCTTTCCACCGCGGTGAATTTCGATTCTGCCAATTGAAGCGGCGATCAGTTTCATGTACTTTGTCATGGAGTCCGGCGACAATTTAACTAACAGCTCGTGGAAACACGGGGAAGATGCAAAGAGTTTTCTAGGGAGCGTGGAATGCGATTGAAGTGAATGAGAAAATATCGAAAAAGACCATACGCGTGTGATGGTTAAATCGTTGAACCGATCTGACCAAAATTGCATAGAACGAATAATGCAAGGTGGACAGTTAAAATTTCCTGTTCGGCTGCGATCATACGAATCATACGATGGATAAGGGGAAAGATATTTAGCAGCGAACAATAAATATTACTACCATATAGTGGTTTTTCTTTGTCATAATCGTGCTCTAAGACACGAGACGTGAATATTACTGCAAGATACCATTCAGATCAACGTACGAGGAAAAAGAAACTTTCCACGATTACGTAGCTGAATTTATAGGTAAATACATATTTTTCTATTTAGATATCACTGTATATATTACTGGAGCACCATACGATATCAACGATGTCGGGGTGAATATTATCCCACTCGTCGAGCGTAATCGTTCCATCAGAATAAATTTTTCTTACTTGGAAGATATGAAAGAATTTTGACAAATTTACGTGTGTCTACAGTTTGGAAAATTTCTTTACCATAACACTAATGTTTGAATTATTCCTGTAAAACGAACAATTTTACAAACAGGAGACGATAAATTGGAGACGATATAGCGACAGAATCAATTCAGGTGATATCACGTTAATCGGTAGTATTATTATCAACGATGACGACAATGATACTAATAGCTATGTAAACGACGATTATAGTAGTGGTTGTTGCTTCGATCGGGATACAACGGGATAAAGGGACGGCGTGGAGGAGGAAACGGAGGGACAGGGGGAACTTTGCGTCTGTTAACTTCAGTTTAAAGCTGCAGGTCTCCTGGGAAATGTGCGTAATCGCCATGTCCCATTCTGAATTGGTGGCGACGCATTCTTGCCTGAAACCGCGGCTGTTCCACACCACCCTGTTACGATGACCCACGATTAACTTCAATGGCTCTGTATACCTCCCTTATTTTCCGTTATTTACGCCAACTCTTTGTATTTAGAATTCTGGTTTTGTTTTAATTTTGCTGAGTGACTGCATAGATAGATTGGTATAAGTGAAACATCGCTGGCCCAAATAAAGTTTCTGACATGAAAACATTACCTATTTAATCAAAGTAATCTTTGTATAATTCAACGTACCTTTCTAGTGACATTATTATGCTCCATTATTACAGATTTATAGGAATTATCAGTTCGAGAATTCAAACATTCTTGGGACGGAGCTGATACGATTTTCTCATTTATGGTTTCTCTTCTTTTTTCAAATAATTTATACGTTCGAAAATTGTCTACATAGAATAAAATGAAATCAATGCGAAATACTAAATTTATATCTTCGTTTTTTTTTAACAGAGAATATCAAAATTTATTTGTATCGCGTGGGCAACCTACATAGAAATAGCACATTTTCTTTCATTTTTCAGTTTTCTAGCCCTGTACAACGGAAATTTTGTTTACTTGTAAGGAAAGAATGTCGTTGATTATGGTTCCTTATTTTCGTTTGACCAATAATTATAGTAAGCTCGATCAACGTTATCGATTCGATACCAAACCTAATTTTCCTCCAGAAGACGAGGAAAAATGCGAAATACCGGGATGGAAGAAACAAAACAACTCTTTCCACGATATGAAGATATATTCTCATGTGTGTCCGGAAGCACGTACACTTTTCCGTACACAGACCGTTCTCTATTCGAACGGCGAAGGAACGCAAATTTTCCGGTTCGCGAAAATGCGATAGAGCGAAAGGAAAGAAAATGCACATGGTGTCTCAAAGAATTTACCACCAATTTTTCCCAATATATCCATTGACTCCTATTGGTAAAAATAAAAAAGATATAAAACTGAAAGAATTAACAATAAGAAGGATCTAATAATACCTAGAACAGAAGAAATTACATTTTACTCACAGACATTCGAACTGCCAAAAGTGCAAATAAAAATTACGAATCGATCGTTCTGACTATCGCGATAGTTTCAGCGTCGATACATAAAATACCAAGCAAAATGTCTAAAATAGCGGCGATAGAAATAAAAATACGAACATCCGAGGTTAATGATTTAACGAAAAGTCTGTTAGAAGGTATTGCGCGATTTCCGAACGAAGCAGCGCCATTCTTGTATCATTCTTTGCGTCCAATTTTCAATCCTCAAATCGGAATGACAAGTGGTTTGTGCCAGAAAACCCTGGAACACCGTGTACAGAGAGAAAGAGTAAGATAGTTCGAACCGATATAGAAGGGTGGCCGAGGGTCGAAAAAGCGAAGAGAGCGAGCAAACGAGCGACCTGTACGTATACGGGCCACCAGGCGGAATAAAGTGAAATTTCAGCGCAACCTGAATTATAAACGATATTATGCAAACACTGCGGAGAAAGAGTACTCGTAGCCGCGAGTTAATTTGATGAAAAACATCAGAGAGCAGCCAGAATAGAGGAAACGAGATAGGGGTGAAACAGAGAAAGGAAGGAGGGAAGAAGGGAAAGGGAGAAAGGGGAGGACAGGCAAAAGACGCATCCGGGAAAGAACGTTCTTGAGGAGGAACACGCTCCTCTTCATCTACGCTTTTCGACTCTAAAGGCACTCTAATCACCGAACAACCATGCCAAACTGTGGTCATCAAAGTCTTCGTTTCGTCTTTTATCCTGTGTTCCCTTTCTTCCGTGTTTGCGTCTTTTGCGTTTTCTATTCTCGTTTTAAGCGACGAGTGTTACGCGTGCGATACGTTTCGGTAATTTTTTGGACAAAGAGAGGAACTCTTTCATTTTTGCTCGACAGTCGATAGCTTGGCCGTTTTCTGATTCGTTGGTTTCTTTACTGGATTTAGTGACTTGTTTTATTTGTTTCTTTGAACGTTTCGTAATTTGCGTAACTTCATTATTTTCTTTCACATCTTCCTTTGGTTTCACATACTTCTTATAATTTAATTTCTTTGATTCCTTTCTTCTGTTTCAATTTCCTAATTGAAGTGCTTAATTCATGTTATTCGAAGGCGCGGACGCAAAGAACCTTAGGTTCGGATATACGCGATGAATATGCAGAAAGAGAAATGCAACTTAGTTCAAAGTAATATTTCTGCGAGCTGGATGTTTCTATTCGAATCGTAACTTCAGTTAGTAATTTGATATATCGTATCAATCTTGTAAAAAGTGTATAGTCCGAAATTAAACTAGTTATTTATGCTGGCGATTTTTAGCAGCGTATAATTCAATTCAACGATTCAAAATGTAAAAAAACACCGACCAGCTCTTCTAACTTGGAAAAATAACCACGTCGATGATTCGTAGGACTAATTGACTCAACAACCCAATCGGCTTTCTTTCGTCCTTTTTGCCAGAACGCGATACGCTATCAGAGAAACGGAGAGTAGGGATACGTCGATCACATCCCACGAGTACGAGGATGACAAGAATAAAAAACAGAGCTTCCACGTCTCGCGCCAGTCGAATCGCGACCGCGATTGATTCTCTCTCTTTCTATTTTTTCTCCTTCTTCCCATAGTCACTCCCTTCCGTTTCATTTCTTCCTTTCGGCAACAACAAACTAACGACGATATCGCGTAAAAATCTTAGACTGGATTCATCGAGTGAAAATGTTTCGCCTTCGTGAATGGATATAAAAACACGTAACATAACGAAGCGCGCTTTGTTTTTGATTAATTGACGTCTTAATTAACGATTAGATCATTCGTGAGAAATTTAGGGGTCTGTAGGGAACTTAGGTATCTGTTAAGAATTCAAACGTCAAGGGAACTCTAGTCGATGGTAGTTTGCGAAATAACACACGTGTCCAAAACGCGTAATATTTTTAGATGCGTCCCGAATCCAAACACGTTCGAAGTCATCGTCGTTTCGACATATTTCCTTTGGAACTAAAATATCGCTCTAGCCATAGGTATCGATAGCAACATCTCGAAATACTACGCTTAACTCGCCATTAGAAACTCGATAACCAAAAGCAGGAAGAAAGTGGCCGATAGAGGGAAATGAAAGATAAAACAAGAAGAGAAACTATAAAGAAAGACAGAGTACCAAAATACAAGTTTAAAACGGAAGAAGCACGAGGTAGCCACCGATAGGTAAAAGAGGAGGTAGAAGAAAGAGGAAGTGGAAGTGCAGGATATATGGTAGGGGAAGACGAAGAAAAATGCTTGGTACAATTTTCGACATGGTAAATACACCAGGCGCACGTGCAACCCTGCCAGTAATCGAGGCAGCGCCGCCAATCTCGACTCGTCGGGGGCGGTTCTCCGTTGGCTAGGGGATGGGGTGGGCTGCACAGGGACTGGCTGATACCAGCCGTCTGGAGGAGGAAACTCGAAGGGCGGTAGAACCTCGTCGAAAAACTAGCCGAATTACGGACGTTTACGACGGTGGCGCAACGTCACGGAAACCTGGCGTTCAAATCACGGGCAATCGCGGTGCACGCCGGTTACCTCTTCGACTTTGCGTTTATATTCGCTTCTCAATCGTCGATTATACCATTTATCGGTCGTACTTTGTCGTCGCGAATCTTCGGCATCTTAGAAATGTACGTTCGCTGATAAGTCGAGAGCGAAAGGGTGTTTGATGACTCTGACAACTGGAAGATCGTGAAGAATTTGGGAATGAAAACGGATAGTGATAATCGGAGAAGTTGGCTTTTGTAATTGATTCGAGTACAACCGGAGAACTCGTCGGAGAAATAAGGTTTCAAATAAGAGGACAGGAAGTTCGACGAGTGGAGGAAATGAGGCGGAATTGGGAACGGAGGAGGAACGTGATTGTTGGAGAAGTTTGAGAAATTGATTTTGCTCGAATTTGATTTGACAATTAATGGGAGAATCTGTACAATATTTGAAGATATTTACGGTTCTAGCAAGTAACGCCAAAGGGGTGAAATCGGGAAATTGGAAAGAAACGTGTGTCATAGTTGGACAAGTTCGAACATTTGTTTCGGTGGGATTCGCTTTGAAAATTCACCGCGCAATTGGAAGAACACAGTTTTATGTAATAATACTGCAGATTGAAAATGATTTTATTGGAAAATTAATCGAGGAACCGCAGGAATAAGATTTTAATTAATATTAGAAGGCTGCTTGACTTTGTCAAGCGAAGGAATCGGTAGATCGAAAAGAAATGTGATAATCTGAACAGTTTCGAAATTAATTCAATCGGAAGGGATCAGTCGTAGATGTTTAAAAAGATGTTGTCGCTCAAATTAATTCGACTCCTTAAAATTACAAGTGAAAGTTACTTTTAACAAGATACCGGAGTAAATAAATCTTCGTGCGACTATCGATGTGAATTCATCCTAATTCCAGCAACTTTATCCAAACGAATTTGCCCAAAGTTTATCGTCGATCAATAATTCTGCACAATGTCTATATACGTCAATTAATAAATCATTTAGTTGGTACATAGTCGAAATCGTACGATGTATAGTTTATATAGAGCTTGGTTCGGTGACAGCGTTACGCCAGACAATTATTCAAGACTTCAAGAAACTTTATCGCCACCTGACACAGTGGTCAGAGTGGGAAACGAAGGAGAGCATCAGTTCGTCGCTCACAAAGGTGTTCTGGCCGCTCATAGCGGATATCTAAAAGCTTTGCTAACTAGCACACCGACGACGCCTAATCAAAGTGTTAACACGAATATTACATCTTGTACTAACTTGCCAACCACCGCAATCGCGGTGACTACTACCAATTTGTCGGGACCATCGCAACGACAGCCTGTCACGTCTGTCTCGGTTTCGTCCATTGGTAAATATCGTAATTTATTCGAGTCGGTGAGTTGAAAAATGATACGAGTTCAATATGGTTTTATTTCGATTATTTAAAATTTCCTACAATGTTTTATTTGTGCGTCTAAACTGGAATGGGGCTGCGAGATCGATAGCTTTACTGATACGCCAAAGCTAATGCTAGTTGGTATATTTGAAAACATTTGTAATTTTGAATTTGTACCGTTCTCCAACTCGTCGATTTATTTGTAAACTCGCCTAGAAAAAAGTACTGATGTATTTAATACATTTAAAATTGAAGAAAAGAACATCGCGCAAAGTCACCTTTCCTTAGACTAAACATTAACAATTTGGAAAATCTGAATATTCCTAAATAAGAATGCCTTTGCATTTTCGTTAAACCTTCCAATGCTTACGAAAATAACTGCAATAAAAAATTTCTCTTTCGGTATTTTTCTAGTTATATCTTATTTGACGTTTATCAAACGTTTCTAGCGTGTACGTTTTCAAACAGAAATTAAAATTGCGACAATAATACCTTGCCTCTGTCCTTTCCTTTTGTTTCCACATACGACTTTCCAACAATACGGTGTCATTTCTTTACATATTTCTTTTTGTGTCAGTCAGTAGAAGAATTTCCATAAGATCGCTTGTACTCAGAAGTATAAAACATCTGTTTCAAACGGAACAATGCTCGTTTTTCTGAACTAGTATTCCCTCTGTATATCTATATATAATCAAAATCCAATGCTCTAATTTCCCTATAATGTTTACTGAAAAACTCATCGACGCACAAGCTGCGAGTTAAACGCAGAAAGAATCGACGAACTGTAAAAAAGATAAACAAGAAATTTCAACAACTGCATATAGCAATAAATGAAAAAACGGCTATATATTTTTTTTCTTGTTTTAAATTCTAATTTCTAGGTGGAGAAGCATTCGCGCCATTATTGAACTACATGTATACGGGTAGATTGGAGGTAACGTTGGATAACGTGTACAGCGTGCTATTGGCCACGCATTTGCTGCACATGCCAGGGGCACTGGAGCAATGCAGGGCTGCTTTACTAAGGCTGAGGGCACCGCCGCCTTTGCCAACGCCGATACCGGTACCAGCAGGCCCGACGTCGACGTTGACGTCGACCTCCATATCCACGTCGACGCCAGGCTCGGGAAATATACTCAGACCTATACCAAACAGGTTGATGATAGATCCAAGTATATGCTGGCCACCGACAGCGCCTCTTTATCCACCAACAGCACCTGTACCCTCGTCTATCGGTATTCCACATTTACCTCAACTGCAACCGTCGGTGCTAATGCAATCGACCGTTCCACTCGGCGTTTCCGTCGCCCCGACCTCCAGCATCCAAGAAACGCATAGCTCGACGGCTTATAGGTTTGGATGTTGATTTTGTTGATTTTAACGTATATCGAGATAAATAATATGTGAAGTCCTTTTTGCATTTTAGAAGATTTGGAATCTCGTGTCAGAGACAGACGTATTAGAAATCTTATTATGATTCGATATTACAAACGCGTTCTCACTAGTAGACTTTAGATTGTGCTAAAAGTGTGACAATGCTGAATATCTAATTTCGTTTCAACTTCTTGGATTTACTAAAGATGTAATTGTCCAGCTATTCCGAGCAATTGTAATACCAACTTTCCAACTGAAATATTAACTTCCAATAAATAAGCAATAAGTAGATGATAGAAGAAGCAGTTTACTGTAAAATAATCATATTATAGTTCGGGTATGTTTCATTGCATGGTATGAAGAAACCTAACGTTTCGTAACATCTGCCAACAGAGAAGTTTTATCGCCAAAATCATCAGTCTTCAAAATCGAGCGAAATCGAAGCCTACGAGTGGACTGTAGACCAAAATCACCAGAGAACGTGTCCTCCAATTCTTTGCCCTTTGTGGCAGCAGCAGCAGCAGCTGCGTTTACCACTTTCACCACCTCTAACGTTGCCACATCGACACGAACGTCGTCGCCTTGTCAATCGATTTCACCTACGCCGTCCTCCGTTTCTCAATCTTCGGTACCACCGTGTCAAAGCAAAAAGACAACGGAACAGCAGCGTCAATCCACGGAAGAACGCCGTTACGAACATCCAAATTCGAGCAACAACGAGCAACAACATCGATCTCCACCTCTGACACCTGTAGAAGACACGGCAATGCCTCGAAACAGTGACAGGAACATCGAATCAACGTCGATCAGCGAGGACGATCGAGGAAGATCTAGACGAAGAGGACGCAGTTCCAATAGGGCAAACGATAGTTCTTCGGGTGTTTTGTCAGTGGTTTACGACGTGGCTTGTTGCGATGGTCCAGTCAAGTTCCATCGAGTGTTGAATGAAAATTACTCGTCAACAGCCTCGTGTGGGTCTAGTTCTGTACTACAACCGCGTTTACAGAGGCCGTGTTTTGAAGCAGAAAACGCCTCCGGCGAAAATGACGAAAACGGAGGACCAACGGCTGTTAGAACTCCTTGCGACCAAATCGAGTCTGCAATGGATACGAGCAACAGCAGCGGAAGCTACACTTGCCGATACTGTAGGCACACTTTCAAGTCGCAGTATTGTTACAGAAAACATACGAAGAGGCATTTGTTGCCGACAAGAGCAAACGATCCGACTGGAAATAGACAGAGACAGGATACAGAGGCTCGAAATAGAAGAGAAGTTCGATTGTTGGATTTAAATGTTCAGTATTATCCGTGTAAGATCTGTGGATGCAAATTCCCGAGCTATTATTTTGTACATAAACACAGGAAATTGTGCCATGCGAATACGGAGGAGAGAACGCAGTCCGACGAAGCTAATAGCACAGCTACCGAGGATCAAGAGTCGACTACTTCAACGACGAATAACGACAGACAATGAAATTGAACTGTTATTTATGGTTTGTTGCGGTGAATTGAACGAGATGTTAAATGAATGAAAATCGAAGCGAAGATAATTTCAATAAATCCGTAGTTGATTAAAAACACTTACCTATTTCAATGAAAAACAAGATGTTCGTGTCTTGTAGAAGTAAATTGGATATAGTGGAAACGTTAAGCGAAAATAAATGAAGATAAATAATTTTAGCATATGACAAATTGCTTAAGCGGACTGGTCAAATAACAGAATAAATTACTTGCGTTTCGTAGAAGTAAGCTGAATTAAGTAAAGATCAAAGTGAAATTAGATGAATACAGTTAGATAATGTTAATACATTAGCAATTGACATTTCGTCAAATAGGAAACTAGATTCCTTCTGTTTTATGATAGTAGATTGAAAATAATGTTAAACAAATGGAAATAAAGGAAATAAAGGAAATACATAAAGATAGGTGATATTATTGATAGTCGACGTTCCATTGAATATTAAAATGTAAAAGTATACCAATTATAATGAATATAATTATAATAAAATATAATTGAACTAAATATCGACGATTGCATATAAAATAAATTTTCTATCAATCGATATTCATGTGTCAAACTATATAATTTGAAAATTGTCTGCTGATGTGTTAAATTGTATAATCATATATTATAAGCATTAGTTACATTATAATGTACTACATGTATGTAATTATAATATGAAAAATAATAATGTGTGAAAGAGAAGACAATTGACTAGCATTGAAATTTCAATAATTTTGGCCCATGAATTACATTGGAATTATGACTAAAAAAGCAACGACATACTACAAAATTTAAATAATGAAAGTATTATTAATTATTCTACTAATATTGACACTAGATGACAGTATGGTTCAAATCTGTACAGTCCAATAAAAACTAACTTCTTACATTAATTAATTAATTACTTAATAGAAATGATCAAATATTAGAAAATGAAAATATACATATAATATGCATAACACTCTTTAATATAGAGATTGAAGTTCTTTTAAACGATTATTGCATTCATTCTACTTGAGTTTATTAACAATTCTGTGTTTATCGTCATTACGTCCTCCAAATTTTTAATTGTTCCATTCGACAAAATTTCAACATTCTTATCGCGTTCGAGCTTGTAAGATCCCATCGTGTTTTTAGATTAATACAATTTTCTCAATTTTAATTTTATTAGAATTAGAATATCCTGAATATTGAATTAGTTCAATAAATTCGAAAGTATAATAAAGGTACTGTCATTTGATCTAAAACGAAAATACGTTGCAGCACTATGTCCAGAATTTTTCAAAAAGATAAAAGTTATATGTATTATACAAGTTTTTATTACATTGTAGAAAATTAATTCGAAGTTTCTTTCATATCACCAACAGGAATATAATGTAAAACACTGATACCTATTCTAAAACTATATTTCTTCAATTTAATTAACTTATACTACATAGATGCCTTTATATAGTTTTCTCAATTGTGAAACAAGAACACGTAAGTCTCTGAATTCTCATTGAAAAAAGGAATTGAAATTTCTTTTTATGCAAGAACTGTCATTTAGAAAATAAGAAATGAAGAAAAACGATATAAATGTTTATTAAACATAGACAAAAATCAAATCACACGAATTTAAACATTTAAATACGATAATAACATTTAAATGTTTGTGGTAACGTTGCAGTGATATATCATGAAAGATGGACAAAGCAAACTGGTAAGATATATTTAACGAAACTCACCAATGGTGTCCATCGGTTGGGCTTCCTCGTCGCTGGTTTCCATAGGGTTGGCATGACTATCTTTCTTCTTTTCTTTTATCCTGCTCGCGGTTACCACGCTTCCACCATCGCTGTTGTTTGCTTCCCTGTAACGTGATTTCTGCTCATTAATATCTTTCAAATTTAACAATGTACCGTTCTTATCAATTTTATAACAATAAATCCAACGATAAAAATCTATTAGTTGTTATTCACTACTCATTTAATAAAACCTTTTTCAACAATTTTCTAAAACATTCCTATTAAAAGTTTCAATATTCCTGCCTATAATTTATATTAAATCTTATATTTTTTATTTATATTTGTTATGTTAAATTTTATGTATACTTATTTGTATTGTACGTATATTCGTCACATTAATCCAGCGAAGCCTGAATCATTGCTGTTACAAACCTAGAATATTTTATTTTACAACGATAAAACGAACAATCAATTAAAAAGACTTTTTATCCATTAACTACATTTACTTAATAGGGAAAATAGTTCATATAAATGTAATTTAAAGAGAAACAAACTTGAAATTGAATTGAATTAACCCTTTGTCTGTGCAAGAGTTTAAGAAGAAAAAAAGAAGATGGTATATAAAAAAATATTTTACGTATATGGCCCGATAAAATTCAAAAAGCTCAATACAATTAAAAAAAAATAGAGAGAATTATTCATCCATACAGTATGAATACAATTACTGCAGGGTTAATAAAACACTCTGTACATCATTTCTAAACGAACGAGGGGAGTAAACATTCTGGTCTTCACGCGGTTCGGAATCAGATTTTCAACGATCGACTCCATTTCGATGATGAATGCCTACGCAAACATAATCCACTAACCAGTAACCATTGATTAGCATTACAATCTGCTAATAACTACCCTACCTTCCCTCTCGAACCTCCATTTTACCACCACCTTCTATTTCCCCCTATCTATCCTCCATTCAACTCAAACCCTCTCTATTCCTCCTCCTATTCCGCTTCAGCGATTTATTTGTATTCTTTTTCTTTTCTTTCATTTTCCGAGAATTATAATTCCATTGATGGATACCATTAAATTAATTTTTATCGTCAGAAATTTTACTGTAAAAGTTGATGAACGAAGAGTGGAAATTACGATCTGAAAAACGATTTAAAAACGGGTGAAGATTAAATTGCTTCTGCGTATGGACAATTTTAATATTCGTTGTGATTATTAAAAGATTATTTGTTCATTTCATTGAAATTATGAATAAATAGAATTGTTGTAGAAACAATTTTTTAATACTAGGCAATTTTTAGTAAATCGATACCGGTATTTATTATATTTATATGTAAAATATATAATTTTTGTTGCAGATCATATATACATATAGAATGAACAAACTTTAAAATTTTTTTTATTAAAAAAGTAAAAAGAGCGAAAGGCTTACTTATTTTCAACATAAATTTGGACGAATACCTCCTTCAATTATTTTTTAACATTTTAAAAATTGTAAGTAATGATTGGTTGGTAAAATTGGTCTGTTTGCACGATGAATATCTTTAGTAAGACGAAGCCCGTTCAAACAATCAAACTGCGCGGTTTTATATCAATTGCAATTTCTAAAGTGATTTCCTGCTAGAGTTATGCTTCCAATTTATCAGCCTTCCAGAAAGACTAGAAATTTTAAATTCCAGCAAATTCTTAAAAGTGTAACAAAAAGTCAATTGTAAGAATCTTTATCTAAAAATTTTTTCATTGAAACTTATGTGAACTTGCAATGTATTAAATTAAATTAAATTAAATTTAAAAATTCATAATTATTAAATTTGAATATCCTAAATCCTAATGCAAGTGTATGCAAGTATTCATACATTATTAAATGCACATTACCAAAGACAAAGATAGTAACTACAATCTGGTTGCAACAATTTTTGAGAAAAAAAACCACGAAAGTTAAGAATGAAATTTATGTGATATATACAACTATATTTATGACTGCAAGAGGACTTCCTTTAGTATATTTTGATATTTACTTTGATATTAGCATCTTGGCAAAAGTGACGCAATTTATCAAAATAGTGTGCTGTTTTACAGGTAGAGGAATACATGTAATATATGCATCTTGAAAACGACCTACATACATCACAGAAGCTCGAAACATAGACTAGGATAAAGATAGGTAAAGATATATAAAATGGTCTATACAATACTACAAATCATTACTAATACTGTAAAAATCTAGGAGCTAGTACCAAGCTAGGATGCATAAGTTAGTTCAAAGATTAAATATATGAAATATTTTCTCATAAAGGAGAAAGTTTTCCTCATATCCACGATAATACTTCCAAGATTAAAACTTAAAGATTATAATGATAGATAATTAACATTATTTATATTACTAACAATCAATGTAAATTATAACAATCCATAAAGATACGTCCAACCAATTATCTAGCCACTATGAAATTCTATTTTAAGGTTTATAGTATCCAAACGTAACCAAAATATAAAAAGAAACAGTTATTGGTCCTGGTAAGCAATTGTGCGTATACATTTACAACTAAAATATCGATTACGTCAATATTCTAGTTACCAAACAATAAATCAAATATGACCACTGTTTCTCTCATTTCTTCTGTAGGTAGGACGAAAATCACAGTAACTATTATACTACAAGATGTATATGTCATCTCAAGTGTATGTTAAACTTACGTAATATTAATTTAAAAAATCTATGTTTGAAATACTTACAAATTCATTAAAGAATTAATAAAGCATACTACTTCCATTTATACAACCCCACGATATGATATAGGTATATATTTAATATTTTCTACAAGTCAAATTAGAAATATTTATAAGAAATGATATTACGTACATTACTTTGACGTCCTTTCCGGACACCGTTTCAGAACTTAATTGAGGCTCCTCTTTCACTTCGACTTTAATAAGGTGCGGCTCCTTCGCTTCCATTTTACTTTCTTTATTTTCTTTATTGATTTCCCTATTGTCCTTCGCGCTTGTTGTCGTCGACAACGTCGCGACAGACGATGTCGTGGTGCTCAACACGGATGTCGTTGTAGCTGTCGTTGATGCTATTACAGAGTCCGTCGTTAAACATATACTCGACGTTGATGAATTTAAAGGAGTCGTCGAAGTGGTCGCTATCGTTGTTGCAACAGCAGTTGATACACTTGACGTAGCCGTAGTCGTCGTCGTCGTTGTACTTGATGTCCCTGTTGAACTATTTTGAGGATTCTCTTGTGTTTTTTGCTGTTGCTCACGTTGCAACCTTGTTGTCACACCTGTAGTTAAAATGTCTAGATTTCCAATACTTGAACTGCTATTATTTACCTGAAAAAGAAAACAATTATAAGGTTAATAATTGTTATACAATTAACATTATTACGTATTAATTAATTAAATGCATTTATACAATTTTCAAAGAATATCTATGTACAAATGCTTTTAAATTTGATTACAATTACACTCACTTTATTATTAGGATTATTTCGAGAGCTACGTGTTCGTTGCCGCGATTTTCGCAAGAGCTGCTTATAATTTTCTGCTTTTTTAGTGAGGTAGTAATGATGCACGCAATCTGGAACGGACTTATGTTCTAAAGATTGAGCTATCGTTCCAAAGTTCTTAGGATGTTGTAGATATTTTTCTTTAAACAATTCGTGCTCCACAGAACTCCATACGTTGATTAACTTTCGTTCACTGTGAAGAGCCTCTAATTCTTCCGGCTGAAGAAGACCATTTCGATTTTGAAATGCGATTCGTCTCTGCTTTGTATCCAACAATAATGGAGGTATTACTGCGTACGAGCGCATCTTTTTATCTTCCATCTATAAAACCAATTTTAGAAATTGTTATTATACATTGAATTTTTCAAACAATAAATATATTACAAAAGTTCATATACCAAGTGGATTATTAGCATTATGAATTTATCGATTGTTAGTGATAGTAAAAAAGACCACGCAATTTTATAACTTTTTGACTATTCGTCATAATATTATTGAATTAAAATAGAAAATTTTCGAAGAGATTTGATTCGAAAAAGAATGTTATTTTTTAAATCTAAACCTTAATATTGCCAGGAATATAATCAGAATGTTAGTACATAAATCGCAAATCGGTAAATATGATCTACCCATTTGTGATAATGAAATATTTTTGTAAACAATAATTTTGTAGATTTCCTTTTAACCTTGGTAACTTTTAACCTATGAACTTTTTCCCGTAATTTCCTTTTCTTAATTATGAAATAATATACCTCTTGTTCTTGAAGGCCGTCCATAATTTCCTCCAAATCAGCTTCACTCTTGATACGTGCACCGACTCTATTAAAACGCTCTTTGTCTTCCCTTTGTTTCCGCAATTCTGGAAACACTTTCTCGAAGAATTCGCGATTCTTCGCTTCTTTTGACTTCCTTTTCTGCGTTGCTTCCAATCGCTCTACTTTACGATGCCACTCCTGTACCAAAATAGCATACGTTTGTGACTGTTGTCGATGGAGAGATGCGCGTTCAGCGTGTTCTCGTCGAAGCCTCGCTATAAGCCTTGCTCTCATACACGTTTGATGTTTTGTTCGATTTTCTTGATACACGCTTGTATCTGATGGCTGATTGTATAAAGGTAGTTCCACTTTTGGACCTAGCCTCTCTAAAAGTCTGTGAGCTTCTTCTGCCTTCCTCTGTAATTAACGTATGATTTCATTCAACCAATGAAAAACTAGATTATTTCTTATTTAAAAATATATTCTGTTTAATTCAGTTAACTCGTCTTGCTAATATTAAATGAAACACACTTTATTTCTTATACAAACATCAGTATAGCACAAGTACAGATTAAAACAGCTGTTTCATTATTAAGAGTAAGAACCAAACGATATATTCATTCTTTTCTTAGATGTATGATTAGTACACATTCACGATGAATCATCTCGTTTTATTCAACGAGAAGTCATTTTCAAATAACGAGTTAACTCATTTATCTCATTTAATAGGTTAATTTGGTAGAATGTAAAACCTACATTACACATGTTGAATTAAACAAAATTTGAATTAATATCTTACCCTATTCTCAGCATAAATTTTTTGTGCCAAAGACTGATGCTTTGGTTGCTGAGACTGCTCCTCAACCTGTCGTTTAAGTCCACTAGCTTCTAGAGGTTTATTAGCTGTCTCTTCCAATTCCTTTAACTTTTTCCGAAGCTTATTTATCTGAGACTCCCTTTTTGCAATTTCTCTATCAACCTTGGAGATTTGCTGTAGAAGATCATCCTTGGTGCTTCTGAACTGCGCATCTTCTTGCGTATTCGGTTCCGGAAGCGTAGGTGAAATCGCTTCAGTTTGGGGTGTATACGCTTCTGTTGCCGGCTGCTTCAAACAGAAATTATTCATATATTATAATATCCCATAAAATGAAAATTTAGGAATGGAAAAATTATTGATCCAGAGAAAGATGAAGGAGAAACACAATTACTTGTAAAAAATATTTTCAAAAGAAATGTGAAAGACCTTGACATATTTTGTAATCTTCTATATATATATCTTTTTAATATAGAGACTTTTTAATAAATGTTTTGCACGAGTACTTCTAGAGATACACATACTTAATATTACCTATCTTCTTTTGTTAATTCCTTAAACACTATATCGTGTCAAACTTATAATCTTATTGTAATAACAATGAAACCATAACAGAATTCATTAAATGTTGAGATTTTTTTGTATAACTTTATCAAAGACAAATTCAATATTTTTCGCATATAACTTTTACCATACAACTATATATTTAATCCTTATACTGTATATTCATTTTCAATTATAGAATCTATAGTGTTGTAACATCCAATACAAATAAGAAATTCTTTACAAAATATACAGACATCATTCAAATGTATATAACGCGACACTCAGCGAGTTAAATACTTGTACCTACATAAATATCGACAATAGAGTTCGCTCAGTAAGTTTCTCAAAGCTATCTCGAAAGCAATCTACTAAATGCCAAGGTTTTTCACATTTATCCTGAATCATCCTGTGTATCTATGTACCCACCCTAGTGTCTATCCTAAGTGGTTGCTGCAACTGCACCACGTGCTCCTGCTTAACGCACGGGTCAGCGGGTGACAAACTATGACAGCGAGATTGCGATTGGGACTGCAATTGAATCTGAGTCGGTTGGCTGAGGCGTATCTTCTTGAAGGGCGGCGCCTCCTGCAGATTGGCCATTTCAACGGCCGTACGATTGCAATACTGATCCGGCTGGACGGGCATCAGGGCTATTCGTGAATTTCTTGCACTGGACACGTGCTGATAATCTGGTGCTGTTGGTGAAGGTGTTGGTGTCACCGAAGCAGGTGGTAAAAGAGATATCCTCGGTCTGTCCCCTCTTCCACCAGCCATACCACTACCTATACCGCTATTCGCCGCATATTCGGCTGCAACTACTCCAACACCGACTCCTATTTGCGACAGGGGACTACTGCTCACGCTAATGGCAATCCTCTCGTTCACCTGAAAGATGTCATAATAAATGTCTGTTCATTCTTTCGAATCTCATTTTATTTGTCCACCTATCTATTCTGCTCTATTTTTATCTTTATCTTCTTCTCATTTAAGATGTATGTGGTTCTATTGCTTTTTTCATCGCGCATTTTATTCAATTTATCTTGTCTAACCTTCTCGGCACGAACCTATTTCAAGAAAATCGATGACCCGGTTCAAGAGGGCAGACGGTAGACCATCGATATACCTACGACACCGTCATACGTTCCTTGCACTCGTATTATGACTAAACTCCACTTTTAGTCGATTCGTCTTTCTTTCTCACGCCTTCTACGTCTTGCTTATACCATGCCTTAGGATCATAATCTGCCACCCAAACAGATAACAGATATGACCTCTTACTAAGCTGTTTATCTTATTCTATCTATATATCGAGTGTTTTCATTTTAGAAAAGTTAATCGAGCATTAATGATTAAATATATGATTCAGTTCGAAATCGATTCGAATAAGCAGCTACACTTTTAATAAACTAGACTTGATTTTTGTACATTCTTTTCTTTTCTTCTTTTAGATAACAGAAGTATAACATACAGGGGATATAATTATTCTCTTATACATGTTCATATACTCTGACTTATTCATAGTTCTTATATTCAATGTTACATCGTATACCTCTATTATTACTATATATCGTAATAAATATCCCAAAATAGAAAGTAAGGTTTTAAATCAAACTTACGCTCGTTTACAAATTTTAAACTAAGTTGACAATTTATCACGTAACAATTTGAAAGTTGACACAATGTCTGTCGAAATTTAAAATTGTTGAAATGAAATGAAACAACATTTACGACAAAGATATTGCTGAAACCATCAAACATAATCTCATCAGAATTCCGCAACTTCGATATGGCGGTAAAATTAATCCAAAACTGCACAACATCCGCGACAAAGAAGATTATATTGCTAGGCAGTGAAGAGAACAGGGGACGGCTAATAGTGGTTGAAAGTCAAGGGCACTGGCAGATACAATGCGCGTTTCGTGTAACGCGTTTAAAACACTAGATTAGGTGTAATAGATTATTATATATATACAATATATATACAATCAGCCAGCCACAAATTCATCTAATCAATTTCAAATATTCCAGCAAAGAGATTAGTTTGAACAACTTTTGATTTCATTAATGAAAAAAGTCGGATACATACGTGTATGTAAACTTTTATGATGAACTATACATGTTAGCCTCCTACATGACTTTCACCTACCAACTCTTTTGTCGAAACAATTCAAATTCACCCTTTACAAATAGGATACTGTGTCCTACAATTTCTATTTTATTATTAAGAATATCTTATTAAATTAACATTGATTAAAATCTAATCTTTCATTTCCTATGGTTCTACATATTTACACGCAAGCCTTTAATCGTTAGAAAAAATATTTCCCGCTGTCTATGAAAAAATGAATATTTATAATCTGTTATCTAAAACCTCTTAGTGACTCTCTCTCTCTCTCACACATACACGCGCGCGCGCGCACACACATGCACGCACACACGTGTAACGAAAGCAACAGAGTAAGAAAAAATGAGGGCGCAACCGATTTATCGTGGGATAAATCGAAGAGAAAAATACCTACATTCGTGGTGGCGCCGCGATATCCACCATCTCTTGTGGCATACGTTCCCGAAAGCGATGGTGGTGGTGTTTGACTAACTGTAGGTGGATTGACAGGTGCAGCTGCGGGTGCTGGAACGGGTATTGGAGTCGGTGCCGACGAGGCCGATGTGACCATCGTCGCTACAGCCGGCACC